GACTACGACGACGACGACGACGAATAGAATAATGATAGCAGCAGAATAATGGTTAATGATAGTGGGAATGATAATGATATTGATAGTAATGATAATAATGTGACTTTTTCATATCAGTAGGGGGAGCAGCAAGACGAGTAGAGTGGATGGCCACCCGCCAAATTTCCTTTTTAGTTCAGCCTAAAGCCGAACAACGTGCAACAAAGGGTGTTTGGAAATCGACTACCTGCAGGGTATAATGTCTGAAGCCTAGGCTTCGGGTTTAGGAACGCTGCGTCTTTGAGCCTCCACCATCACCGCCACCGGCACGTAGGGAGCTCTCCCGCTCGACGGGGAATCGAAACCATTGAGCAGTGCAGAGGCCGCCTTTTTTGGATCCCGTGAGGCTGTGGCTCTGCGAATGGGGGTGAGCTGTGTCTCGGAGACGGACAGTGCGGCACGAGGGACGACATCAACAATTGTCACTGGGCTCCTGTATGGAAGCCATTCATCTCCCCGCCTGTTTAGGATTCGGAAGTTGCACGTCAGTTCACTGCTTGTGGTTTCTGTCTGTACACCTGTTTTCTGGTAGCGGTCTGCCAGTCTTTCGAAAAAGGGGTTTGTGTTTCCCTGAATTGAAACGGGGGCCCAGGCTACGATGCCGCCTTCACATATCCGCCATCCTTGGATGTTTACCGCAAGGGCAGAGGCACAACCAAGACCAGCACCACTGTGAGCTCTGCAACGCAGACGACCAGTGTGACCCTCACAACCACTCACTGGTACGAGGAGGGTCCCTGGCGACTCGTCGGTTCATGCACTGTCACCGCGGATTGTGCCAAGACTTCTGGCGATGGGATGTGCACCTTCACACTCCCGAGGGGCACGCCTGTGAAGGTGACGCATGCGGGCTCCGCGAATTCTGAGATCTTCAGCATCAATGGAGTTGAGCTGACACCCAGTTCAATAGGTGAGACCTTCGTGGTTGACACGGAGATATCCTGGAAGTCGGATCAGGACCGGACAGAGAGCTGGTGGGAAGTTTGCATAGAGACACCTTCTTGCAGCGATGGTTTGGGGGTGTTGCCCGTAGATTCGGCAGAGTGCCCGGCAAGCACAGCCGACCTCCTTAGTTGTGGGGCTGCGCAGCCTGGAGACCTTTGCTTAGGTGACGGAGAATGCCTGACATATTCTGGCCTCAACAACTGTCCCCCAAACGCAATCTACATCAAGGAGGTGGGTACGACTCTAACGGTCAGCAGCACGACCTCCTTGACCGCAACCTTCACCCCTTCGGCTTGGCAAGTCACCGGCCCCTGCACGTTGAGTGGCACATGTGTGCAGAGCCCCAACTATCCAGAGCCGTATGGACCCAACGAGCGCTGTGAGTTCTCCCTTCCTCCAAACTCAGTGGTTACGATCGTGGACTTTGCCACGGAGCTCAACTACGATCGACTGAGCATCAATGGTCGGGACTATAGCGGCCCAGGCCATGCGATCGTTGGCAAGCCCTTTCTTGTGGAATCCCTGTCTTGGAGAACTGACGAGTCCCGGTCCGACAGGGGCTGGCAGCTTTGCCTCCAGGAGTCCAGGTCCGGTGCCGAGGCTCCAAAGGGTGCTCTAAGATTGATCTGAAGCTGAGGTCCTTGGATCCCTTAATGATCTTCCATCTATCTTGTTATATCTTGCCACAACAAAGGCGTGAATTTAGGTTTGCAAGATCCTGCATGATGATGAAGCCATGCCTACGATTTTGCCCGGCATGTAAAGCTCGTGGGGCCATGGCTGCCAAGGTTTTTGCAAAGGGAAAAGTAGCTCGGGCACTGCAGGACTGCCTGCCTGCTGCTTCCCCGAGGGTTAAGTCCAGACATCGCCGTGTCTCCGCGTAGAGGTTGGTAGATCCAGAGTGATGGTGCTAGTGATGAGTCTGTCGTGAAGACGCTTGGCAGTTCCGCAGTCAATTTAGCATAGCAGACGAGGGTGTGAATGCCCGCCCCTCCAGCGTCTAGCTTATGATGACATCACGCAATCCGTCGACACTGTCTGCAATGATTCAAGAGCTTGCGGAAGTCATCATCCTAGTCGCACACGTGAAGCTGCACAAGATCCTACGTCACCACAAGAGTCGGGAGGAGCTAGGCAGCAGGAAATGCTGCAATTCGCTATCGCATCTTTTGTGCGAGGGACTTCCGCAAGAGGAGGACCTCGCCAAGAACTTAGAATGGGCTCCCTGGCGGGACAGAGAAGAAAGGACCCACAGCGGTCGGAGGGCCCACCGGAGGCGAGCCCATTTCAAGCGTGTGGCGCGGTGCTCGCGCCCGAAAAGACACCGGTCACTGCAGTGAAGAGCCCGAGACCTAGCAATTCGACCGCCTGCGGATGCAGCCGTCAGGAGTCGGACATTCAGGTCACCGGCGAGTACCTGACCAACTACCTCAAGGAAAGAGGTGGTTTGTTTGGGTCAGTCCCGGACACTCGGATCAGTGCTTGCCAAAGGAAGCCCTAACAGGCCCGTGAACCCTGCCACATACAGGAGATGGATGGCGACGACTCGCAGTTCAAGGACAAAGCTTTGAATGGCGCACGACAAGCCTTTTTTCCTAAGAGGGGCAGGTAGAATTTCGTAGTGCTAAGGTCAACAAGATTCCGTTAGGCAGTAGGGACGTGCCATCATTGCATCTGCAATGCCTCGAAGGTGTCTCGTTGAAGCGTGGATCATTACGGATCTCTATAGCCGCAACCCAATTTTCAGATGTGTGGGAGGACATCAATGCCGCAGCCCGGTGCTGAGGACTTCAGTGACAGCAACTTGGAGCCCGATCTTCGGTCAACTTCGACCATGTGAGGTTTCAGAGTCCGGTGAAGCCAGTACTCGTAGCGATCCGTAGCGTCAAAGCCGACTAGGGAACCTAAGCCCCCAACGGATCCCCTAGACGTTTATGTCTCGAGATTGGTGCATCTGCCCTCTCCATGCACCTGTCTATGCTGGTGTGATTATCTAAGCATATCAGATGTTCTCAAACTGTAGCTACAGATGAGCGACGAACAAAAGGCTGGATATATATATATATACACACATATATATATACACATGTATATATATATACACACATACATATATACATATATACCTATATATATATATATATGTATATATACATATATGTATATATATATATATATGTATATCTATATATACATATATATATATATGTATGTGTGTTTTTATATGTATATGTATATGTATACATATATATATATGTATAAACGAAACTTACCAGCAGGCATACATGTATACACACATTTCCCCACATTACACGTGTGCTTGTTTTTTGACCGTGTCAGTAACTGCCCGTGCACTGCATCGTGTGTTCTGTAATAGCTTTGAGTCTCACGATTTACAGGCATGTAAGCCCACTCGTAGGGCCAATGTCAGGGTAATTTTGCAATATAACACATCGACATTTGTTGGACTATCAGCAGTGATGTTACTATTGGGGTCGGTACGGACGTCCACAAGCGTCAGTGCTGGCGTTGTGCTACAAGGATTCTCTTTGCCTAGGCTTACTATCATCAGTGAAGAAGGTTTTTACCAGGCTAAGACCAGAACTGCTGTTCCAAACAAACTGCTTGAAAGGCAGGCAGAAAGGTTGCAACCAGGCTTCGCAATCGCCATGCCTGCTATTGCTGGGGAGAGTCTTAGAATCAGAGTCACCATCGGGACCAATATTAGGGCTAATGCCACGGTTCCTATTGGGGTGGGTACTGTTTCCAATTAGGAGTCAGTTCAGGATTACGTTTATACATGTACCTATTCAGGCTTTAATTTTATGCCTAGGATTAACGTAAGGGTTGCTAGTGGTGTGAGGGTATAAGCATTAGCAGGAATTAGTAAGCCATATTAGCTACGATCGGCACACTAAATGCTCATGTTATGTCTGCTGCTAGTAAATTCGGGTCAATAGAATATTTAGCGGCCAGTACCAGGCTTGCTACTAAGGCCACTCACTATTGGAGTTGCATTGAGGGGTTGATCGTAGGCTTAGATTATGCGTGAATGTGCGTGATATGTGGGTTGCTATTTAGATTCAGTTTGTAGTCAGGTATGAAGGAGATCTCAATGTGATTTCTAATCAGGTTAACACTGAGCTTAGGGGTTTTATTGGCACTAATATTGTAGTTACTACTGGGGTTCAGCATTGGGTTTAGTAAGCACTGATAATAGCGTTACATTGTTAGAATAGACATTAACCCAGGCCAATCTTCCGGTCAGTTTCCATGCTATTCGAGCCTCCAGGGTCAATATAGAAACTCATGTTATTGGGACGTGTTAGGTTTAAGCTGAACAGTAGATGAAGGATATCCGAGGGTGATGATACATGTCAGGATGGAGCTTACGTTTTTCTAAAATAGAAACATGCAGTGAGTTGAGGATGGCTCAAGGCGATGAAACCGATGATTATGACGGTTTTGATCAGGGTTAGGTTGAAGTTAACAACATGTCAAGACATGAATGTCTTTATGGTTGTGGGACAGATCATGATGACGGTTCTGTAGGGCTGTTAGAGGGGTATGCATGAGCCATGTCATTTGGTTTGACACTGCCGATTCGGGTTTGGCTTTCTTCAGGAAAACAGGCTAGAGGTAGGTTCTAAGGGTACACGCACTCTCTCTCTCTTTCTTTCTTTCTTTCTTTCTTTCTTTCTTTCTTTCTTTCTTTCTTTCTTTCTTTCTTTCTTTCTTTCTCTCTCTCTATGTATAGAAAAAATATATACACACATAAAATAAATATTTCGTATACACATCTGCACCAGCTTTGACAGCTGTCCTGGAGCTCCAGACTCGAAGGTCGTCCCACTTTCTACGGGCACGAGCCCCCCGAGGCTCCAGCCTGCTGAGCCAGGGGCTTTGAGCGTGATGAGAGGAGCGGGCTCCAATGCAACATGGCATCTAGTATATGTACTATAGTTACTATAGCACTATGTCACACGTTACAGTGTATGTTCTGGGTTTGTAATGCTAGACATGCTGCACTTTGCAATTTATCTGATTTTGGGCCCTGCTTCCGCGCGGCTTCCGTGATATGCCTGTGGCAGCGTATGCTTAGTGCTTGTATGCTGCGTGCTTCTATCCCTTGGTATGGGAGTTGCATGAGCATGGTGAGCATGCGTTTTCAGAAGTTGTACGAGAAGTTCTCAGGTCCATCCTCAAAGCTGAGGAGCAGAGCAACACTGGCGAAGGCTTCCAAGGGTACAAGCAACCTCTCTTGACACCTTTGCAAGGGCTCCCCCTTGAGTTCTTTGTGGGAGGTTGCCTTATAAGGTTATCCTCGACAAAAGCCGCTGCTGTTGTGTGGCTTGCTACATTTGCAAGCCGGCCACCTTTTTCTGAAGAGGCATACCTTGATGCAGTCGAGAAGTATGCCATCAGACCCTTGCCTGCTTTCGCTGCCTTGAAGTGTGGCTCGAACAAACTTCTGACCGGGCTCAGACGCCGCTGGGACATGGCTGCACGGGTCTCAGTGCGACTTCCCCGGAGCCCTGGAGAGCCCTGGAATCGGGGGCCAAGGGGGCTCTCCTCCGAGGCCACGAACGGAGCCGGGGAGGCCGAATTTAAGGCCAAGATCCGGGAGCCAGGAGACTCAGATCTCGGGGGGTGGGGGGGGGTGGTTCTAATTTTTTTTGGGTTGAAGCTGACTGATACTTGGCAGAATGGTGCTTAGGTAACTTTCGATGCATGCGGGTTTTGGCAGCTGGGTACTCTTGTTAGTGGCTGCGTGAGGTTCCTATGAACAATGGAGCAGGTAAGAGAATAGATTTGCAAGACTGTTCCTAGCTCCTGATCTCGTAGAACTCTAACCCCACATGCGCTCAGAACCAGCTCAGCCTAGGGTTTTAAGAGGACGAAGGGCCCCCCTGTAGTTCAGGGGTGTACTGTAGGGTTTATTACGATTTTTTTGATTTTGAGGAGTAGTATCATTGTTGCTAGTATCACTGTTAGTACCCTGACCGATTCCAAGGTATCTGGACCTTACCCTTCCGGAGTGCTTCATCCCGGAGCTGGGGGAGCAGAAGCAGGGCAAGGCTCTGGCGGGTTTAGGGCTTAGGCCTGGGGCTCTTTAGGCTTCCCTTGACTTCACTGGGCCATGCTTTGGGGTCGAAGTCTCCAACCTGCGCAGCATCGCAGTGTCATGCGCTTGGGCTTCGGGTGCAGGTTCGAAGCATTTACTTCTCTGGAGAGAATGTGGTCATGGTCACGAACGATCGTGCCCAGCTTAGTTTCCAACAGCCGATCGAAGGTCTTTGTTTCGATGTGGAAGATTGCGTCTAGCCTTGCGGCGCAGCCGAAAAGTGCACACTGAACACAAAATAGGTGATCTTTTCAGGTGTCTCAGCCTTCGATTACATCTTGCCGAGATCCTGGCTGGTTGAATCCTGGTCGATGTGTTCTATTTGTCACAAATCCTGCCGTGAACTAATCTGTCTGAGACTCAGCACCAGCACCAGCCTAGCCCGGAGACATGAAAGCTTTGACAATCCCAGCTGCCGCACGCGTTCAAGAGGACCCAACAGCAACAACGGTCAAGTCTGCGAATCGTGGCATTCCTCCGTTCGCGGTCTGCTTCAAGTAGATCAGATAGACGTATCTTGTTCATGCCCCGTGTAATATATATATATACTGTACTTCATATACTGTCATATATTGTAACACGCTGTGCTATCGCTTGTAGAAAACTGTATGTAGTCTATAGTATATAGTTACTACTATATGCCTTTATGCTATATACTATGTAGTGTATGCTGTATAGCGTGTACTGTATACTGTATACCGTATACTGTATACTCTGTGCTATACCTTATGTGCTATATACTAAATACTTTATAGTATACACTATCCTGTGCACTATACTGTACTAGACTAGACTCTACTGTACTATGATGCAACATACATCGAATGTAAAATAGCTCAAAATATATCATCACAAAATGCACTGCAACACATTGCACAATATATTATAATGTATTTAGTTTCATATGGTATAATACAACATGATATGATATAGTGCAATACAATATACAACTCTGAAAGCATATTTTGAGAAATTCCATTGCCTGGGTGCCAGGAACCTCATCCCTTTCAAAGGCCAGGTCTTGAACATGATCAGCGAGTGGGCCTTCAGCCAGACCAAGGCACCCCAGCATTTCGACTTCGGGGCTTTGCCGTGTTAAGACGGCCACTGCCGCCACGGGAATTCTGTTCAACATCACTAGCATCACCTGGATCATCATCATCAGCATCACCACCATCATCGTCGCCGTGTTAATGACCATCACCATCGCCTCGCCATCAAAACCATCACCAACAGCATCAGCATCACCGTCGCCATCAGCATCAAGACCGTCGCCATCACCATCACCATCATCATCAACATCAACATCTCCATCATCATCATCATCATCATCATCACCATCTTCTTCGTCACCATCGTCATCATCAGCAGCAGCAGCACCACCGTGGTCACCATCAGCTTCTGCATATATGTGAGTGTCACAATCCCCGATCACAATCTCCCATCTCCACTGTGTAGATCGCCGTCATCACAATCACTGCGCCTGTTTTACCATCATTGCAGCCATCATGGCAATCGCTTCCACCATCAGCCTCATCAACTCCTGATCAGTTTGTTCCTCCTCCTCCTCCTCCTCCTCGTCCTCGTCCTCCTGCCCCTCCTCATCCACGTCCCGCCAATCATCGCCAATCATGCCGTGATCGTCGTCATCTCCATCATCACGTGTCGTAGTAAATCTACAAGTTGCATCAGCTGCCTTATGCCCCCACCACCAACACCACCAACACCACCAACACCACCAACACCACCAACACCACCAACACCACCAACACCACCAGCACCACCAGCACCACCAGCACCACCAGCACCACCAGCACCACCAGCACCACCAGCACCAGCACCACCAGCGCCGGCACCACTATCACCACCACTGTCACCGCCGCCGCCGCCACCACTACCACGACCACCATCACCACCTCCTCCTCCACCTGCACCAACACCACAGCCACCACCGCCACCACCGCCGCCACCGCCACCACCACCACCGCCACCACCACCGCACAACCACCGCCGCCACCGCCGCCGCTGCCTCCGCCGCCGCCACCGCCACTGCCACCGCCACCACCACTGCCACCGCCACCGCCACCGCCACCACCATCACCACCACGGTCACCACCGCCACCATCGCAACCTCGAACTACGTGCAATACCGTCAGTGCTTAGGAGAAAGATCTTGGTCGCGTCTCTGAATCCGCCAGTGCTTGTGTGGAAAGCATGTCGACTGCGCAGAGGAAACTTGTCATTCATTTTTCTGACCCTTCTTAAACCTCATGGCTGCTTCTTGCCCAAGCCCCTTGGCCCGTGTCCAGTTTTCAATCCCTAAACGGCCCTAAACCTGAAGAAGTGGACTCCAGAACTCTTTGCAGGACATCATCCCCAATGCTCTGATCGAAAATGTCGATGCCAGCGTGCGGGCCCCTAGTTTAGTTTTACCCTTCCGCACTGCGTCCGTCTTGAATTCGCGAAAGGATTTGGTGGTTGGCTGTGCTGCCGGGGTTTCTGACTCCCTCTCCGGCGGTAATTCCTAGACAATATCAGCTACCGACTCGGGATATTACTGTGACCCAAAGCTGCTTCAGGTTAGAGTCTGTCTGCAGCAACATGGACAGAGAACGAAATGGCTGTGAACGTCACGACAACCGGGAACACAAGCCAATCTTCAGACAAAATCCAGGAGCCTTAGCCACACCAGCCCAAAGCTACCCCGAACATCAGCCTTCCGAGGAGGACGGGTCATGTTGACAAGAGACCTAACACGTGCTGAAGAAAGATGCGTCTTAGATGGCTGTAGGAGAGTCTGCTTGATGGTGTGGACAGCTGGTTGTGCATCCAAGACCTCCTCGAAGAGTCAACGAGAGGACCCTAACCCACCCGCAAGTGCCTTTGGGGCCTTCGTAGATGAGGCCGGCCCTGTACAGCCGCAGGTGGTGGTCCAAAAAAAAATGAAGAATTTGAACGTGGAGCTCATTGTGAGAGGCCTGCGCCAGAGGGGGGTTTCGTTTTCTCCTTCTGACCGGCGATTCACCACGCCAAGGCTCGAACTCGTGCACCCTTATCGGTGTCTTACTCCTGGCTCACAGCATGTGCTTGTGATCGAGAGATCTGGCATATAGCCAAATGTAGGTGGAGGTCAGCACACTCAGACAGCGACGCTACAACTCTTTTAAATGTATCTACATCTGCCTTGCGGGCGGCAGGGTGTCATGCTGAGCTTTCAGTGAAGTGTGATCACCTTCAGTTTCACGGTCGGGTGGGAATGTCATTCGACCAGAGCAGCGTTGATGGACAAGTCTCGTCTGACGGAGCGACATCCATCATGCTGAGGCGTCTGCCCAACAAGCTGACGGCTGCGCGCTTTGTGGAGATCTTGGACCAGTTCTGGCCGGGTTGCTATGACTTTGTGTTTGTCCCCCACGACCGGGCAAAGTCCAGGAATGTGTCTCTGGCCTTTGTCAACTTCACGGATCACAGAACGGCACAGGCTGCAAAAGAATACTTCAATGCGTCACGCAACGATGCCAGGGGCCATTGCCTGGGGTCCCACATCCGTGTCTCCGAGGCTGATGTCCAGGGCCTGGGGGCAAACCTGGCGTATTTTATCGCCAAGAACGGCTTTGCTGGCATGGAGCATCCCCA